GTTGTTTACAGGAACATGAGGGCGATCGTGTGGCATTTTGGAGATCTACAAGCATGCTCAAATTTCAGTTTGTGGCTAAGCGTCTGTTTGTTGTTTTGCAAGGGACTGCAAGCGTTTAAATAAGAGATGATGTTGGTGTTGTTCCCTAGAGGACAGGAATTTTGGAAAAGCGATCCTTAATAAAAGGAGAAAAAAATTATTTACTAAGTCAAGGTTTCCAAAATTTTACAAAAGAGATCCTAAAACAAGTTTAATCTGGGACCATTTGTCTTATGTTCTGGAAAGTCGCCTGTTATTGGCAGCCGACTGATATTGCCTTATGAGTTGGGATCGGGCATGAATCTTTAATTCCTGGTCCAGGTCGGCTGCATTGATCTTGTACCGATCAATCAGGCATTGCTCGTCGCTTATGTGGCCTTCCAGGACAGATTTTTCTTGATGAAGCGCCCTCAGTTCTGCTTCTTTTTGTTGGATTGATCCCTCTATTTGTGCCTTGGCACTGTTAAGGCCTTCTACTCGGCCAGTCGCCTGTTGAATGGACTCCTTGGTTTTCGTCAAGGAAGCCTCCAGATTTATTCGATCCTGGTTGGGCGAGAGTGTATTGGTTGTCAAGAGCTGAGCAAACAAAACTTCATTTCGGAGTTCAGATAGACGCTCCATCATCTGATGAAGAATGGAGGTAGCAGCCGACTCTGAAGAAATTTGAAACAAAAGACCACCAATGGCTTGAAGGAGGCTGTCAAGCAAGTCTGATCCCAGGTCGGGGAAAGATTGATCAACAGCCTGCGCAATTATAATGCGGACGTCCGTCGGAATGGGGACAGCTGACAAAAGGGCTAAATCAGAGCTTCCCTGAAAGAATGAAGGTTTATTTCAGAATACATGAGATACCAATATCAAGAATCAATTGTGAAGGTTGTACTTACCTCTGGACGGATTGTGGTCACTGAAGGTGCCAGAATGGCCATAGGTCTGGAAGGATGAGCGGGTTGGTACTGCTATGGCCGACTCGTCGGCTGCTTCAAATGGACGTTGTGGTATGGATCTGGGTCCCTGAATGATGGAGATATAGTGCTTTAAGGATCCTGTAAACATTAACTTACAATTTGGAAGAGGGAGTCGCAAATCTCTACCAGATTAACAGAGGTCTCTGATTCAGATAAGGGAATCTCTTGTAACTCTTGTAAGAGTCCCCTCGGCTGAACAGACATAGGTTCGTCTACCTGTCTGTCCGCTTCTGGAGGAGGGTTCGCTGCCCTTGGGTTTGCTACCCTTGGGTTGGCTGCCTCCAAGACGACTGCCCTCACATCGGCTGTTCCTTGGTCGGGCGCTTCTGGGGCGGCCGCAGCTGGTTCATCGGGAGCGATTTGAATGGCCGCATCAAGGACATTTTTGTCTTTTGAAGCGACCACATCAGAGGCGTCTGCAGTAGAGGCGGATGCAGACGTGGCCATTGGCGCCATATGAGGCAGAGATGGGTCTGAAGCGACATAAGGTAATCTACCCATCTCTGAAGCAGTCGCCTCACTGTGGGATGATACCCGTGTTGTTCCCCGTTCGGCGGATGAAGGCATTTTCTTCGAGGTCCGGCGTTTGGTCGGGGGTTCAGATTCGTGTGGTTGGTCGGTTGGTGACTCTGCTGCTTTATTTGAGTTGGAAGCAGGTTGGGCGGTCGCCCTAGCTGAAGTCAGACCTGAATATAAAAATAAGGGTTAATACCATGGTAAGGAAAGGATCAAGTTAAGGTGAGAATATGAGATTATACCTGGACGAGGTCGGGTCTTTATAGGGGCCCGACCTAATGGGTGGTTTTTTAAGGTCGGTTGGTTGTCTCCAAAGAGGGGAATAGCTTGAGTCTTAGAGGCTCTTCTTTTCCTCTGTGGAGTGCCCGACCCAGTGCCCTGAGTAATTAATTTCCTTCGGACATTAGTTAGTGGGGTCGTCCTTAATAGTAACGCTGGTGGGGAAGGAGAATGTCCAGCAAGCAATCCTTGTCAGGGGCAATTAAGGCCCAAGTAACCGACCACCATTCACGAAAGGATTCGGCTGAAGCTGGAGAGGTCCGGAAAGGAATGTAAGAGTTGGAAGTTATATAACTGACAAGTTGGGATACATAAGGGGCGATCAATTTAGGAATGACTCTTCCATCTGGACTTTGAATTATTAAATGCGGATGGGCAATGGGACCAGGCAAGCCTTGTTGGCATCCGAATTGGAGTGCCAAAAACTGATGTTGATAGCTGAAGGTATAAAACGCTTTGTGACCCTTCTTATCGATTATCTTGCTGACAAATAGGGACCTGGGCTTAAGAACAGCATCCCAGGAAAATGAGTAAGTGGGATGAGGAAGTGGGTCTGGTTCGGACAAAGGCGAAGATACAGAGAATGGCCAAAACAGGCCAGATGCATAACCAATATACTTTCTATGTATGTAAAAATGGGTGTTATTACGATCATCGGCAAGAATGGCAGTTATGATAGGGTCGGCCGCTTGGAGGTTGTTGCGACCTAAACAAAGTCAGTTAAGGGCTATTCCTAGAGATTTGTCAGGTGGTGGTGCAACAGGAGGGTGGCCGAGTTGAAAAGCTTCAGGAAAATAAAAGCGGAACCACAAATCTAAAAACCAAAAAGGGCCTCACGCGGCGGTATCTAATTTTTTACCGTCCTTCTCTGTAAGGCGGGTGCTAAGCCTGGATAATCCTTCAAAAAGATTGGCAAGGAAAAGAGTGCCCAGAGAGAAGAAACGACCAAAGCTATATGTATGGCCAAGTCAAGATGAGAGGGAAGGACACATTTCGAACGGGAAACGATAACATACCTACAGAGCCAGAAGAGCAAGAAGGCAGTATGCTCACGGTCGGTGACAGGGGTATCGTTTGCTCCTTGTTGATCGCTTAGAAATTTGGTCCAGCCCCATTCCTTAATGCTAGCCAAAGACCAGCCTGGATGGTTTGTATTGAGTTCTTGTCCGTCTAGGGCACCCATTACAGGGTGTTCTCCCACGATTGGCAAATGAGCGATCATGGCCACATCCATGAGTGTGGGGCCAATGGGGGCTTTTGGAAGAAGGAAGGCGCAAATCTCAGGGTGCCAAAACGCTGACATTGCTAGAAGGACTTTCTCATGTAAATGACATGGGAGAGTAGACAGGAATATGGCTTGGTCGATGTGTTGACTTTTCCATTGATCTTGAAAATGTTCTGCGACCCTTTTGTACTAGGTGCGGTAGGGATCCTTGGGATCCGTCAGATGGGTTTTAATGTTATCATGAAGGCGGACTGCATTATAGTTGGGATTGTTGACAGCTAGTAAGTTTCGAGCTTCCAGGACTTCTCTCATTCGATTGGAGTCTTCAGGAGTAGTGCAGTAGGGGCGAATGGTTAGAGTGAGCATTTTCGTCGCCACGAAAGTCGTTTCAGGGATTGATCCGTCAAAAGGAAGTGCAGGAATGTATTGATTTGCCATGGTTTGGGGTCGCAGAGATTGCGATTAACAAAGGCTAGTATTGAAGAAGGGAGAGTTTTGTGGCACACAATGTGTTGCAGTAACTGATTGCAGTTGCAGAGGCAATTCCTCAGTAGGGTTGTGGTTCATGAACTTCCAAACGGCGATTGAGGAATGGCATTTGAAAGTCCGAAGGTGGCGGGCAAGTTGTTACGTATGAAATTTAGAATTAGGTTAAAAAGCCCAAGTTAAAAGGAAAAATGGGCTTACAATTGAGTTGGTCGAACTGATCGAGGGGCATTGTGGGAAAATCAGGTAAAACAGACGTATTTCTAAGGAAACCGCCGGTCGGAAGATCTGCAGGTCGGAAGGTCCGCAGATCGGAAGGTCCGCAGATTGGAAAGTCCGTAGATCTAAGTTCGTAGGTCGGAAGGTCCGCAGGTCGGGAGGTTTGTGGCTGGACCAATAAGCCGGATGGTCTGTAAGTCGGGAGGTTTGCGGCTGGACAAATAAGTCGGATGGTTTGTAAGTCGGGTGGCCTGCGGTAGGTCTAAGAAGTCGGGAGGTTTGCGGCTGGACCAACAAGGCATAAGGTCTGCTGTCTGTCCAAAAAGACGGAAGGTTTGCGGTCGGGCCAACAAGGCGGAAGGCCTACGGTCGGTCCAAGAAGTCGGAAGATTCGTGGTTGAATAGGCAAATCGGTTAGTGTGGAAGTCGGATACTGTTGAGAGCGAGTGAGAGTAATAGTTTGGTCGGCTGAGGGCACGTCTCAGCAGAAGAAGGGTTAGCAGACGGTTGAAAAAGAGGCGTTATAACCATTCGGGCGACGGTTTCCAGTACCGTTTCTGAAGAATATTTAAGGATTGAGATTTGCAACTGACAAGGAATCTTCAATCATCTTCAAACGACATCAAAGTCAAGAGATTCGGAGATCATCATTTAAATTTCCAATTAATTTTCTGTAACGTACAGTGTTTAGAGATTTATAATCCCAGGCGCTAAATATATCAAATTCGAAGATAATTTCCTATTTTCGGATTTTACTTTTTATTGTTGAAAAAATACATCAACAAGAGTAAAATGGATTTTTTAAAACCAAAACAAACCTTGATGGCAGTATAAACAAGCATAAAGCACGATTGGTTGCGAAAGGGTATAAACAAAAGGAATGAGAAGATTACAATGAGGTATTTGCTCCCGTCTCTAGACTGGATACCGTTCGACTGATAATTTCCCTTGCAGCTAAAAATGGTTGGAAGCTTTTTTAAATGGATGTAAAATCTGCGTTTTTAAATGGGTTCCTTCATGATGAAATTTATCTTGAACAACCTCTTGGATTCGTAAAGAAAAGGGAAGAAGAAAATGTGTATAATATGCGGAAAGCATTATACGGGTTGAAACAATCCCCAGATCTTGGTATGATCGAATTCATAATTTTTTCATGAAGTATGGCTTTGAGAGATGTCCCTTCGAGTAGACACTGTATATCAAAAAGAATGCAAATGGAGGCTTGGTGATTGTGAGTCTATAATGATCTTATCATTACTGGTGATGACATGGAGATGATATCAAACTTCAAGATGTCAATGATGGAAGAATTCGACATGACAGACTTGGAAGAATTACATCATTTTTTGGGCATCAAGATGCTGCAATCAAAAGGTGGCATATTCATCTTACAAGAAAAGTATGCAACTCAATTGTTAGAAAAATTCAACATGAAGAATGCAAATCCTGTCTCTACTTATTGCATCATATGTCTAAAATTGAGTAAGAAGGGTGAGGGAAAACTTGTGAATCCTACTCTATTTCGAAGCCTTATTGGAAATTTAATGTATCTCACTGCTACAAGACCCGATATTATCTACGGGGTGAGCTTGCTGAGCAGATTCATGGAGAAAACATATTCAAATCATTGGGAAGCTGCAAAGAGAATCCCGCGCTATGTTAAAGGGAGCATCAATCTTGGCATTTTCTACGTGTTGGATATATTGATAGCGATCTTACTGGAAGTACTGATGATTCACGGAGCATTTCAGGCTATGTATTTACTCTTGGGAGTGGAATTATTTCATGGTGCTAAAAAAAAACAGCCGGTCGTGGCGACTTCTACCACCGAAGCTGAATACATTGCAATGGCTTTGGTAGGGTTCCAAACTTTGTGGTTAAGATGAATTTTGGAGAGCGTAAATCTTAAAAAGACTGATCCTACGATTGTCTACTGCGACAATAACTCTACAATTTCTATTCCAAAGGATCCCGTCTTGCATGGAAAATAAAGCATATTCGCTTACGATTCCATTTTATAAGAGAACTTGTTGAACGTTTAAATTGTTTCATATTTTCCAAGTTACCCAAGTAGTTCAAATATGTAACTTGGGATGACTAAGGCATAAACAGAAAAATAAAAAGAAAAATTTTATGTTCCAAAATTTATTTTTCCCAAAATTGCTTTCCAATCTATCAATTTTCACATTAAATATTTTCTGCTTTATTGTTATTGCTTTTTTTTAGGAGACATTATTTTTTAAAATACTTCAATGGTAAAAATTTGAAGAAAAGAGTTGAGATCAAACATGCACTTTAATGGATTCTACAGTAAGATTGTTTTTGGATGGAACTAAAACAATATTACAAAACACAAAGGTACGAGTCCTTAGTGATTCGTGCGTGCAGAAGAGTGTGGGAGACACTCAAATGCTGGAGACGAGGCCGTTATTGACCTTTACTAGGCTCGGGGCAAAATTAGAATATTGAGCTCTTAAATATATTTTTTATATAATAATAATAATAATAATATAATATATATATTTTTTAATATAAATGTATTAAAATATTTTTTATATATTAAAAGATTAAAATATAAATATAAAATTAATGTGACATATTTAGTATAACATAAAAAATTAAAAAAAATATTTGATTTAATATTTTTTAAAGAATATTTTTATAAACAATTAAAAGCCTTTAAAAGAAAATTTTCAAACAAAAATATTTAGTAAGGGTTTGTTTCTTTTGAGTGGTTTAGGGAAAAATTTTGTTTGAATTTGATATTAAAATAATGTTTGATGAAATGTTTGTCAGAAATAAACGCATAGTTCTAATAGTAAAAATTAAAAAGTTTAGATTAAATAAACAAACTCAATGTTTATATAATACACAAAATTTTAAAACTACTACTAAAAAGTATAATAAAATATATAAATTTAAACATATAAATATAAAAATAAAAATAATAAGAATACAAAAATATTACTCTATCATATCTTTCTAATTTTACATAATTCACAAAAAATATAAAATCATACCATTAAATAAACACACTAAAACATACAAAATAAATAATTTAAAAATTAATGTAAAAATCATTTATTTAAAAAATAATCATAAAATAAATTTTTTATTTAAATTTTATTTTATACATTCTAAAAGAAAAAATAATACTAATATATATTAATATATAGGAGTATATATATATATTATTGGCCCCTTATGGGCCCTTAGAGGGAATGGGCCTTGGGCAAGGGCTGAGCCTGCTGGTGACATCTTTGTTATAGTGTTTAGCAATTGAATTATGTGTTCATTCTTACACTGTTTTCAATTTGAAAAAGAACAAGTAATAAAATTAGTGATGATAGTAGACATGGATTTTTTGAATTTTTTAGCCCCAAGCAAAAAATAAATGATAGGAGTTACCATAACATGATTAAATTTATTTTTAAAATAATATATTAAGGATAAATATAATAATAAATTCCACAAAAGAGTAGAAAGTATTTTAAAAAGTATTTTAATTATATATTCAGTCAAATTACATACTCGCGAAGATAATAAGATGATGCTCCCCCTCCCATATCATATGCACAAAGTGTATTATCAGTTGATAATAAACACCATCTTAGTATTATAAAATAAATAATACAATAATAATAACAACAATATAAGCCCTATTGGGGTCAGAGACAACGGTAGAGAAGAAAAAATAAAAATAAATAAAATTTAGTCATGATCATACTCGCATGTAATTATAAAATTTACGGTAAACTGATTTTTTTGTTCCGTAGTTGAATCTTTTTATCATTTTAGTCTCATAATTGACGTATGTCACAAATTGATTTCGTAAGTGAAATTTTTTTGCAATTTTAGTCCTCCGGCGTCAGAGATACCTACGTTTCACCCGCCTGGCTCACCGGAGAACATGTGACCGCTAAGTCAGCAACACATAGCGGACACATGGATTTTTATTTTTTAAAAAATTTTAATTTATTTATTTTGCATTTTTTGTAAAAGTTAAAAATTTTCAAAAAAAAAAATTGAAAATTAAAAAAATTAAGAAAAAAGAAAAAGTACAAATCCACTTGTTCTCCAAGTGTCGCTGACCTGGCGGACACGTATCTTTCAGCGAACGACACGGGTGCCACATAAACATCTCTAGTGCCGGACGATTAAAATTATAAATATTTTCTACTTACGAAACTAGTTTGCGATTAGGCTCCACTAAAAATTAGTTCACCCTAAAATCTAATACTACAACTATTAATGATAATGAGTTAAAAACCTAAAAATATGAGTTCTGTTGGCTCCGCCTAGAGATAAATTGGTAATTTATTGTAATTTGACTGTGGAGTATTTTTTAGTGTTTGAATAAGGAGCAAATCACATATACGAATGCACTCGAGCAGATTTTCAACTGTCGAGAGTTGAAAGCATTGATGCCCGACCCGCCTCCTTAAATATACACATTGCATTCCACAAATTATTGCACCACTCTTCGATTTTCAAATTATGAGTTCCATTATACTAACAACATCGTAAACATCGAACAAAGAATCTCTCCAAAAATAAACATTTTAAAACCCCTTCTTAGGCAGAAATCTTCTCCTCATGACAGAAATCTGTCTAAGGCTTAATCCAAAAGCCTTCTCCAACAGCTCATCGTTAATTCCTGAGCCAAACAAGACATTAGGAATCTTCTGCATCCCCGGATTCTGACTGTTAAAGCACCCGAAAACCGTGGCATCCGACTTTCCGACATTCATCTGGAAGTGCACCAGCCCCCGAGGGAACACCATCACCTCGCCCTGTTCTATCACCCCGGCAAAAACGCGATTCGTCGAATCAACGAACCCCGAGTAAACCTTCCCCCGGACAACATAAACGGTCTCCGTCGCCCTCGGATGGGAGTGCGGCGGATTGATCCCGCCGGGCCTGAAGTCGGCGCGCACGAACGACATTCCCAAAGTGTTGAGCCCCGGAAATGAGGATGGATTCACGGCAACGGACGAAAAGCCCGTTGCCGAGAAATTTCCAGGGAATTTGATCCCCGGAAAAATGAAATCCTCGGGAGTCACTAACCTAGGATTCTTGCACACTCTATTTTCGTCGAGGATGCAAAAATCGTCCACCGGATCAGACTCGGCTCCCATTGTTGTTTTAGACAAGAGAATGAAGAACAAAAATGCAAGTTGTGGGTACATTGTTTTGAAATGAATTGGATTTAGGATCTAGGGTATGGATGGAATGGATGAATAATTAGTGGTTTTTATAGATGAGAATGTAATAAGTAAGATAAGTGATTGATGATAAATGTAATAACATTTTTAAATTTTAGAATTTTAATTTACTTACTGGATCCCATTAAAATTAATATTCAAAAAAATGGTTTGTTTGGACCACATTGGTTGATGGAACTATAAGGATGTGATAGCAACAAAATTATGATGGGTAATGATGATGTCATTCTGACTGCTTTATTTGGTGCTGCATTATGATGATTATGATTATCATTTGTTTGTTTGTTGTTTTAGTCCTGTCCAAGGTAAATAATTGCGATTCAATTTTGATACTGACGTACTTGTTAATGCAAGTAATTCATTTTAGGGGTTGAGTTTAATAATTAGTTAGTTTAATTTAGACTCAGAAAACCATTTGCTGTTAGCATAATTAAATAACTAGATATTTTAATATATGCATATAAAAATGCAATTTTATTTAGTGGACGATTAATGAAGATGAAGTGTTTATTTTATTTTATGAATATATATTTAATATTTATCTTATCATTGTGTTTAATTTATTTTTTATTTAAATAATAATATAAATGTAATGTGTTTCTTTAAAAATAATTAATATTTTTTATAAGACTGGTATTGAAAAACAAAAAAACAAAAAAAAAAAAAATCACTGTTATTATTAATCCAAGATCAACAACACATATTCACGTAAGAATATCCGGAATCTAACGAAAACTTAAAGAATTTTTTATTATTACGGAAGCAATCTACTCGGACACAGTTTTACCCACATATCAACCAAACTGATATCGAACATACATCCAAGACCCAAACCACAAATAACTCGCCACAGAATCGCAACTAACACACAAACTCGAACCCTAATATACGGAAACACAACGATTTCAAGCCTATTACACCGCGAACAACATATACATCGCGAGACACAAATACAGGCGCAAATCGATTAAATCAAAACTTGAGAGAAGAATCGCGAGAGGATCTGTTATGAATATGTTATGTATCTCATCTAATCCAGTTCAAGGAGGGACCAGCAATATATATATGAACAGACCAGACCGGTTCAGCAGTCCAGACCGGTTCAAACCGGTTCAGACCCATAAACCGACGGGCCTCACAGAGATTGGGTCGGACAGTGGGTTGCCGGATCCGGGCTTCAATTTGGGCGGGTCGGTTGTATTTGCATTGGGTCTCTTTTTCATTCGCCCAAAACTCCACAAATATCCACCTTTTTTGGCATGGAGAATGTGCTTTAAAAGTGGGTGTCATCACAGTCTGAATCATCAATTGCTTCCAGTATTTTAACCTGCGGACTTATAAACACGATTAGTATTTACAAATTTTATCTACATACGAAAACAACACAAAAACAGTCCTTTTAAGCCGTCAAGAAAAACAGTGCATTTTTACTTTTCAAAAACAGTGATTAAATTACTATTTTTACAGTTTCAAACTCATCTCTAATCAAAAGTATCAATATATACTATTTTCTTACCCAATTCCAATTTCGTAACCGATAAAATCTTTAATCCCATGTCCGCAGGGTTATTTTCAAAAAATATCTTTTCAAATTTTATCAAACATTTAGACACTATCTCATGAATCAAATGACACCTAATGTCTATATGTTTCAAAACATAAAGATACTTTTTCAAAAGACCATCGAAATTCTTATCACCCGTTAGTTTTATATCTTGTATAAGCTTGGTAAAAACATCGAGATTTTCATCTATAGACTTTGAAAGATCCAATCTTTAACTAAAAATCTTTTCTAACAAATGAATGCGATTTGGAAGAGAGTAGAATGAATAAATGAATGAGATTTTATCGAATGTGAGATCTATGGTGAATAAACCTTCTAGGTTTTATCGAAAACGAGTAGAATGAATAAATCTTCTCAATTTATCGATGTGAGGTCTTATTAAATGTAGATCTACGGTGAATAAATGGTCTAGGTTCTATGAATGTGAGATCCACCGTGAAAAAAATTTTGGGTTATAAAGAATGTGATGATTTATCAAATATGAGCAGATTGAATAAACCCTCTAGGTTTTTGTCAATTTGAGGTTATTGAATGTGAAATCTAGTACAAAGAAACCTTAGGTTTTATGGAATGTGAAATTTGTTATACATGAACTTTTAGGTTTTTTAGGGTAGTTGTTGGCATTGTGGGAGTCCAATACAATTGATCATATTCTAATTTTATTGAATACGAGATCCCTCGAAAAAAAATTAACCCGCAGCCACTATTTTTAGAGTGCGCTTTGGGTAAATTCTCAATCGAACCTAATAACCTGCAAACTAGACTCGGCAAGAAAAGTCACATTAGACGGACCATGTGTGACAGAAAAAACCTAGAAGCGTGGAGATATGAACCCATGACTTCACGGTCACGAGTCTACACCATACCACCATATTGTATTAAGATGATAGATGAGTTTTGTGTGAGAGCAATACAATGGATCCACTTTTACATTCGAAAAATACGATAAAATAAAAAAATGAGCGGAGGTGGCATAAAAATATTTTATGGTACTGATAACTAGAATTTGTTAGTTGTAATTTGTACAAATCCACAGGGAATTTATATACGAAAATAAGTGAGTGATGTATATAGAAAAGCAATCAGATATAGTAAATTTTGTGGTTGTAGACCCTGAGTAGTTATCACAATTATTTATACTCTTTTACTGGTGAGTTTTCAGGTCGAACACAAGGATTTTAAGTCATGAATTTCAAATGGTGAAGATCTTGAAAAAACGATGACAATTGCAGGAAAGGATCCGCTTGCGGCGGATCAAAACTTCTAGTCTATTTGAAAGCGGCAAATAAAGCGGTAAAAGGGGTAAGCGGAAGTGAGCGAAGGGAAGGAGTAAAATGAAGTACCAACGATAACCAGATGATCGGGACATGAGCGGAAACGGGGACCGAGTGAATGGGACATGGATGAATGGCGGTTACCGAGTGAACGGGACATAAACGGGTGACACATTATGTTATATATATATATATATAGGTAAGCGACAAAGAGTGAAGGAGAGGTGTTGTGTCTGACTTGTGCGTTACTAAATGGATAGATTCCCCTGGATGTAATGAGCGAATGATGTAAGTGTATTAACGAAGATATATGTATATTACGGAAACAATTAGAAGTGGATGATGTAATTAGATAAATAGAAGTATAAAGAATTCATAACACTGGAATTTGATCTTAAGGGATTTACAACAAGACTTCAATGACACCCAAAATCGAGACGTTATAAGAAAGAAACCCTACTGTCGCTAGGAATCTCTGTGGCCTGATAGACCACCGTCTATGCCCCATTAATTATCCCAACTTCTGCCTCATTAGTGGCTTTACGCTTCTGTTACCTCTTTTTAATCAAAATTGAATTCAGAACAGTAGTTAAGCAGGTCGACAAGGCTCTCGCGTACTTAACTACGTTGAACTACCTAGAAACCGCTTTTGGCGCAAAACAAGGCTCAGATTTATCAACTCTTCTCATGCTCTAAACCAGTGAAATGAAGTTCTTTAAATTCAAAGTTTATATAAGTAAGGATAAAGTGTGGAAAAAATGAGGATTGAGAACTGAATGATATTTCATTAATTACTACTAAAGCTGGAAAGATTAGAACTGCAAAGCTGTAATTGGAAGCAGTAATCTAATCTAAGAAAGCGATAAAGACTTGGCTAAGGAAGGAGGGAAATCCCTACTCCTTTGGCCATTCCTGTGGAGAACTCCCTTACAGGATTGGAGCTCTCGGAGACAGGAGGACGACTTGACAACAGAAAGTAATTGCTAAAAATACTCCAAAAATCAAAGTTATTTACATAGAGATATCTGGCCCTATTTATAGTAGGTGATTGGGATGGTTGCAAGCAGTTGCTGGGCGGTTCCAACCGATGGGCAGTTAGGCGGTTGCTGGTAATTATTCTGTTGAAGTAGTTGTTTGCCATAACTCCCTGGGTGCCCGCTTCGCTTGCATTGAATTGTAAAGGCTCAGATCTTCCTCGCTTGCCGGAGAGCTGGAGGGCATCAGTGCAGCTAGGCTCGCTTGTGCTGGCTGGAAATGAAATGGCTGAACTGCTGCAGTTGGAACACTTAATCAAAATCTGGTGACATTCTGCAGCGGTGGGTGTCTGGGCTGTCGCTTGCAAACGGGAGGGGCTATCGCTTGTGAGCGGTGGAAGCTACCGCTTGCCTCTCGTGCCTTAGTCTTTTTCAGTAGATATTCTGGGTGCTTGCGAGCGGAGGAGGCTATCGTTTGTGGCGCATCTGGCACCAGACTACCGCTTAAAAAGGGCAAAAGTCGTTAATAATCTCAACAACAAAATCTGGATAATGCCAAGCGATATAGATCAATAATGTATGCCATTAACGGGTTATTATGATGGTTTTTATACAGAAATTTGAGTAATACACAATTTTGTCAAACTAAGAATATGCTCATATTTGGAGTCATCAAACCTCATCACACTAAACCTTTGTTCGTCCTCGAACAAACTGCATTAAAAGATCACAAGGTTATTCTATTCACTGCAATCAAGAATTGTTAACAACCAGTGCCATGATTGGGGGCAATGTGAACCTCAAATAGGAACGAAGGAACCATAAGTATTCAGCTTGCCATTTGATTTAATACGTTTGGAGTTATCCAAGTTTCGTCTACTTTGCTTGCTTACCAGGGAATACTTTTTTTATCAAGGAAACCTTCAGCCGAAGGGTGTGGAGAATCTTTTATTTTTTTTGGATCGAGAGTTTCAAACAAACATTGTGTCTGCTCAAGATCTTATTTGATTCTTGCGTACCTAGGTCTTTTCAGTTCCGTTGTAATGATAGGTCCTACCTGTTTTGCTCACACTGTATCTTAAACCATATTTAAGGACTTCTCTTTTCAAGTTATTTCTTATGAACACAGTTGAAAAACATAGGTCCCCTTGCCCTACTGAGTACGGAAAAGTTTGAAACGAAGGGGGCACTAATCTTCACAA